GCCCTGCATGTTTAGAAAGACACAGGCTTTCCAAGTGTCCTCCTCTGCCTGAGTCCTCAGCAGCACTATTAGCATCTTGGAAAACCCAGCTAATATGCTTCATTGAGAGGGACTGCATGCAAAGAACAAGAGGGGAGTGGATGGCCAGAGATGCCTGGTTTTGACGTAGTGAACCAGTGCTGACACGTGATGTTGTTTTCCCTGTTGTCTCAGCTGTAGGTGTATCTTGTTGACTCTGGGTGCTAGCCAGAAAAAAAAATTCTGTGCTAATAACCTGAATGCATTCAGCAACTGCAGTATGGAAGGGATTGGGTGAGGTTGAAGTTCACTGGGATGTAGTTCACAGCTGCTGGGCTGCAGACAGGTCAATGATCTAGTGCTGATTTTATAGTTCTAGACATCATTGTGTGCTTAATTTGCTCTCTATACATGATACTGTACATGATAAAATTTTTTAGATGATGACATTTGGGACCATAGCCCTGACTGGGCATGAGTGCAGCTGGTACAGAAGTATTGTGGCACAGAGCTGATGAGTGCACCCTGAGCATCACATCCCTCTTTCTGTAACTTTGCTATGACCAAACCTGCAACACCCTCAGCCTGGGCTGTTTCATGAAGCTCACACACCTGTTAGCTGCGGCTGATGCAGAGCCAGCGTAGGAGCCTGCATGTCCATTGTACAAACAGGATAATCTGCCTGGGGATAATGGAGCACCGGTTTGGTGCATTGGGGTGCACCTGGCCCACAGGTTTGCAAGCAAAGCTCAGTGAGCTCGGTGACAAGCAAGAACATCTCACCTTTCATTTTCCTGGTAGGTTCTCGCGACAGGAAGGTGACTGGGAGAGCTTCATCACCCAAACAAGAACGACAGAGAGGCCAGAACCTAAAACCATCTCCTGCACAGGCAGACAGGTGAGTGCCTGCTTGTGCTCATGGGTCTGTGGGGACGAGGCTGGGGCAGAAGAGCCAAAGCCAGGGCTTGTGGCGGAATGCCCTCATCTCCCTGAAGTCACAGCCCTGCAGAGAAGACCTTGTGCTCTCCTCAAGCCTTTCCCAGGTGAGGTGAGGCTCGCACAGGGAAGGTGGGCATTGCTTGGTGTCTTGCTTGAGAAGCTCTTGTGCTCCTTCACATTTCCCCACTACTCCAGTGGTTGAGTTCCTCCTCTTGGGGCAGCTCTGAGGCTCTCTGACCGTAGCAGTTTTCAGTTGTTGCCATGGAGGCACAGAGAGAGGAAGGACGCGGAGCTCTTGGGCAGGAGCCAGAGGTGCTCAGGGGTTCGTGCAGGAGCTGCCACTAAGCTGTTCCGGCTCAGAAACGAGCAGGAGCCTGGGGGGTTTCTTGAGGTCAGTTCCGTCAAGAGGAGCCAACTGGGTTAGGTGCCTCTGCTTCATGTTAGGATTGAGAGAAAGAAACTGCAACCCCTTCCTGCTTCTGCTGAACTCCTCTGTGGCTGCCCAGTTTCCTTTCTTCTTAGCTTGGCCTGCTGGAGGGGTTAGAACAGGGCCCTGGGTGGGTGATGGCTGGTGCTTGGTGCCATTCCATCCCCTCTGGTGATGTGGCCAGCTCATGTCCATGTCTTGGCAACCCGCATCTGCTGCTGGGAATGTCCCACTGCAGAACTGGATGCCCAGCTGCAGGGGCCTGGGGCTGTGCTGCACACTGAGCCCTTTGGCTAAAGGGTGGTGGAGTGGCCCACCTAAAGCTTCCTTGGTCCTTCTCACCCAGAGCCAGACTGCACTGCCTTGCATTTCCCTGGTGTGATATCAGGGATCTCCATGGACAAGCACCCCTGGCCAGTGGGCCTCCTGTCATCCCTTCTGCCCAGCCTGGGGCAGGAGCGAGCCTCAACTTCTGTGTGTCAGAGTCTTCCCAAACCAAAGTCTAGCCCCAGCTACCACAACCCTATCCTTCTCCTTGCCCAGAGGTCCCATTTCCTTGTGTTAAAGAGGAACCTCAGCCTTTACTGGCTGGTGTTGTTCACAGCATCCTTGCTGATGGTCCCTCTGCTGCTGTTTGGGTTGGCGCCGTCGTGTGCTGGGTTTGGCACACCATGGTCCCAGCCATGAGGTGGTTAAGGAGCAGTAGGTTCCCAGAGGTGGAAGGTCTGTGCCTGTTCTGAAGTCTTTGAGGCTGTTATCATTGCTGCTTTGTTAGAACAGAACTGGAGTGTGAGATGGGGTGTCAGGAAGGACTCCTGCAGTGCCAGATCTGCACCACAAGGACACAAGTGGAGACCACAGCAGCCCTATGGCCATCACCACAGCCATGGCACCAAGCTTACACCTCGGGCTCCCTCTCTTCCAGCTGCTTTGCCAAACCAGAGCCTCATCTCTACCCCCGGTGGGTTTTGTTTCCATCAGCCTGCAGCCCCACTCACCACTCTGTGCTTTCTCTCCTGCAGGAAACGCCAGCTCTCACCGCAGTCCAAGAGCTCCAGCAAAGTCACGAGCATCCCAGGCAAAGCAACAGAGCCCGGCCCTGCAGGTGCCAAGGGGGGCAAATCCAGCACGCTGTCACGGCGTGAGGAGCTCCTCAAACAGCTCAAAGCAGTGGAAGATGCCATCGCTCGCAAGCGAGCCAAAATCCCTGGGAAAGTATAGTGCTGCCCTGGAGTGACTGTTCACATTTTTATAAATAGCATCAAAGCGGCCACTTTGGGATTTTGCAGTTCTGTCTTTATTTTGGCTGCAGTTCTTTTAAAAAAAAAAAAAAAAAAAAAAAAGAAAAAGAAAAAAATGAATAAAAAAAAGAAAAAAACACAAAAATAAACAAATAAAGATGGAAGTTCGTCAGCTCTGTGATGCCCTCTGGCCCATGCTGGCGCCAGGATGGGGGTCACCCACCCCTTCCTCCCCCCCCCCTTTTTTTTTCCATGTAAATTATGCACAGAGGACTCCAGCCCTGTGGGATGCTCTCACTACTTCCCCTCTTTCTCTCTCTGCCCTCTCCTCTTTGCTAAGCCTCGAGTTGTATCTTCCTAGTTAGCCCTGCTGTGTGTTGAGTGTCATCAGCCATGCAGTTCTATATACTGTGTAATGAGAGAGCCGAAAACTGCTGTGAACTACTGGCAACATCCTGCCCCTGCCCCCCACCAGGAACAAAAATATATATATATTCTTGACTCTAAAAGTCCCATTGGGAAAACGACCTGTCTTTTATTTGAAGCCTCAGCTTGTTTGAGTTGAGGGGAAAGGAGCCCTGAAGGCGTTTTATGGGATGTCTGGCTAATAGAAGGCTCCTTTCTCCTGATGGGTTTTGGGTTTGGTTGGTTTTTTTTTTCCTTTTTTTTTTTTTTTTTGAGGGATCTTCCCTGAAATAAAGTATTTTGATAACCAGTTCCTCCTCTCTCTCTGTCTGTTACCTTGGGCATCCTGTGCTTTTTTAGCCCTGTGTAAGCAGCCCAATGGGGTCAGGGGGAGTGGTTGACACCTTGCCCCCATTACCCAAGCCCCTTTGTTCTCCCCCCCCCCCCCACCCCAGCTCCCACCTCAGCCCTTTCCAAGGTTGCCCAATTTGGGATTTCTGCTCCAGGTTCACAGCAGCCCCGGAACGTGAGGGTGATATCACCGCTGGGCTTGCGCAATGGGAGCAGCGCAGTGACAGCTCCGGGCACGGGGATCGTCCCATCCCTGGCATGGGAGCTTGGCTTCCCTAAGGGGCTCAGCGTGCTGGTGGGCTTTACCCACAGACCCCATTCATATTCCCATCCACCATCACCCCGACTTCTTTAGGCTGTGACCCCAAAGACCCCATGGCCATCGCTGCAGCCAAAGCCCCGTTTGGCAGCACACAGCAGGCCATGGCCAGCTGCTTTCCGCGCTCCCCTCCTCACAGGGCTGGGACACGCCGGGAGAAGGAAGTGCTGCGGCTGTTGGGAGGAGGAAGGCAGCCCGAGCTGGAGTTTCCAGGTGTGTGTACATCACCTGCGCTAACCCTATATAAAGGCGGGGACGGCGGCAGCGCTGCCACTCGGGGCCGCGGCAGGTTGCAGCTCAGAGCAGCCCGACGACGTCCTGCAGCCCATGGTAATGCTGGGGGGCACCGAGGGGGTGGTGTGAGTGTGAACGGGATGGTGTGTGCATGGCAGGAGCTGCGTGCAAAGTTGTGGGGGTGGGAGGGTTGTGTGTCTGTGTGTGTGTGTAGATAGGTGTGTGTATGGGGTGTGCATGTGTGTGTATGGGTGTGTGAGGTGTGTGTGTAGAGATGTGTGTATGGATGTGTTATGTGTGATTAGATGGGGTGTGCATGTGTGTGTATGGGTGTGTGAGATGTGTGTGTGTAGAGATGTGTGTATGGATGTGTTATATGTGCTTAGGTGTGTATGGGTGTGTGAGGTGTGTGTGTATAGAGATGTGTGTGTGTAGAGATGTGTGTATGGATGTGTTGTGTGTGTGTGGGTGTGTGAGATGTGTGTGTATGGATGTGTTACGTGTGCTTAGATGTGTGTGTGTATGGGTGTGTGAGATGTGTGTATAGAGATGTGTGTATGGATGTGTTATGTGCGCTTAGGTGTGTGCATGTGGGTGTGTGAGATGTGTGTGTGTAGAGGTGTGTGTGTATGGATGTGTTATGTGTGCTTAGATGTGTGTGTGTGTGTATGGGGTGTGTGTGTATGTATGTGTTATATATGTGTGTATAGAGATGTGTGTGTATGGATGTCTTATGTGTGCTTAGATGCATGTGTGTGTGTAGATGTGTTATGTGTGTGTACAGAGGTGTGTGTGTGGTTGTGTTATATATGGGGGTGTGTGTGCGCACAGATGTGTTTATAGGAGTGTGTATCCAGATGTGTTCTATCAGTGTGCATAGATGTGTGTGTGTAGAGGTGTGTGTGGATGTGTTATATGTGTGTAAATGAGTGTGTGGTGTATGTGTGCATAGATGTGTGTATATGGGTGCGTGTGGATGTGGTCTATGTGTGTAAGGGTGTGTGCATAGATGTGTGTTTGTGTATAGGTGTGTTATATGTGAGTATAGAGATGTGTGTGTGTACAGCTGTGTTATGTGGGTGTGCGTGTGTAGATGTGTTCCATCTGTGTGCATACATGTGGTCATAGGGGTGTGTAGGTGTGTTATGTATGTGCATATAGACACGTGTATGTATGGGTGTGTGGTGTGTGTGTACAGATGTGTTCTATCTGCCTGTGTACAGATGTGTTAAAAGCTACATGCACGTGCAAACATGTTGTATATATGTGTCTGTGTTATGTATGTGTGTGTATAGAGGTTGTGTGCATAGATGTGCTGTGTACGTGTGCATGGATGTGTTCTATCTATCCATGTGGGTAGGGATGTGTTAAATACATGTATGTATGTACAAGTGTGTTGCATAGATGTAAGTGTGTGCATAGAGGGGTGTATGTGTTTATAGATGTGCCGTAGGTGTGTGTGTTAAATGGGATGTATGTGTTGGGTGTATAAGAGTGTATGTGAGCAAATAGGTGTGTGTACGTGTTCATGTGTGTATATGGGCATATATGTGTGTGTATGTGTTACTTGTGTGTATATGGGCATGTGTGTGTACTTGTTACATATGTGTGTGTATCGTGCATATGTTATGTCTGTAAAGATGTGTTCTGTCCATATGTGTTTCATATATTATATATCTACATGTACGTTATATACGTGTGCTATGTGTTGTGCATATGTGCAGTTTGTGTGTAAGTGGGTTGTAAGTGTGCACATGCACGTATATGCATGTTGTGTGTGTAAATATAATTGCATGTACGCGATGTTACATCTTTTTGTATCCAGCACAGATGTGCTAGCTAGATGTTACACAAGCCATGCGTGTGCACAGGCATGTTAAATCTATGTTATGTGCGTTATGCGCGTGGGCACACACACGTGCTGCACGCCACACACGTGTTGATGCGTGTAAAACACACGGAGCTGATCCCCTGCACCCCACACAGGGCTGGCTGGGAGCGCTGGCGCTGCTGAGCGCCGTGGTGCTGTGCTGCTGCCTGCGCCGTCCTGCCGTCCCCACGCATCACCACCCCCACGTGCGCTGCTACGGCACGGCAGAGCTGCGGGATGGAGAGGCCCCTGCACACCTCCTGGGCCGCAGCCTGCGCTGGGAGCAGCACGTACCTGTACAGTTGGTGCCCCAGATTGAGGCTGCCCAACAGCGGCGGAGACGCAGGGAGCATTCCTGCCCCACGCTGCAGCTCCGTGCAGGGCTGCACAGTGAGCCCCATGAGAGATCCATCTCACCGTGGCGGTACCGGTGGGTGTGGGGGAGAGGGATGGAGAGGGATGGAGAGGGATGGAGAGGGATGGAGAGGGATGGAGAGGGATGGAGAGGGATGGAGAGGGATGGAGAGGGATGAACACATTGGGATTGAAGGGGATGGGCATATAGTGGGATGGAGAGGGATGGACAGAGATGGACACAGCAGGATGGAGAGAGATAGATACAATGGGATGGAGAGAGATGGGCATAGAGGGATGGATAGTAATGGGCGCAGTAGGATGGACGGAGTGGAATGGAACAGGATGGACACAGCGGGATGAACAGAGAGATGGAGAGGGATGAATAGGGATGAACAGTAGGATGCAGCAGGATGGACAGGAATGATCACTGGGATGGAGTGGGATGGAAACAGTGGGCTGGATAGCAATGGGCACAGTGGTATGGAGTGGGATGGATGCAGTGGGATTGAGAGGGACGGATGCAGATGGGCAGAGTGGGAAGTAATGCAGCGGGATGGAGAGAATTAGACATAATGGGATGGACAAGGATGGAGAGGGATGTACACAGCAGGATGGACACATAGGAGAGGATGCTCACCACGTCAGCCCTTTACACCTTGCCCTTCTTGCAGCATCGATGAGGACGAGGACCGCTACCCACGCAAGCTGGCCTTCGCCGAGTGCCTGTGCACCGGCTGCGTGGATGTGAAGACAGGGAGGGAGACCACGGCGCTCAACTCGGTGCTCCTCCATCAGACCATGATGGTGCTGCGCCGCAAGCCCTGCCCGCGCCCCTCCAGCGCCGGCCTCTTCACCTTTGAGGTGGATTACATCCGTGTGCCCGTGGGCTGCACCTGCGTCCTGCCCCGCACCGGGCGCTGACCCCGCTCCCTTGGAGCACCCCCAACCCCGTGACCGTGTCACCCTCCTCGTGCTTGTTTTAGAGCACTCGTTCCGCCCACCCCGCCCTCCTCCTCGACCCCATCACCATTTATTTATGAGTTATTTATGATGCCCACTGGGGGGATTTATTTTTGTAACCCTGTATTTATTGCTGACCCCCCCCCCAACCCTCCCATAAGGCAGCAGCCCTGGGCTCAGCCTCAGCCCACACCTGCAGCCCTGCCCGGGTGCTTCCCAGTTATTTATTCCCCCTCAGTGCTATTTATTGAGACCTCCGCGTGCTATTTAACGCCAGCAGTGTGCAGCCTGAAAATAAAAGCCTGACTCCCAATGTGCCACACTGGGATAACTGGGAGGGCAAGGGGCAGAGGTGCACAGGTCCCCCAGTTGTGCCCCGTGGATGCTGGAGGGGAGGTGCCAAGGATGCAGGGATGGAGGTGCGTTGGGTACCCCCATTCCAGCTGCCCCAATGGATGCTGGGGGGCATCTGCCATCCCCAAAGCATACCCAGGGGAAGGGGGAGGCAGTGGGGAGAGCAGGAGAAGGACAACCCCACACCAGCACCCCATCACCACCCACTCCTTTCCCACAGCTCTGCCCTGGGCACTCACATCCCATGGGCTCAGCGCCACCTACCGGGGTTGTCCCACATACCTTAAGAGCACCCATGGGTGCTGGAGGGAGGGGGGGGGGGGAAGGGGCTGGGTGTCACCTCTGGGGACCACTTTGTCCTCTAGCCTGTCCCCACTCCAGGTTTGCCCCATCACTGCGATCACTGAAGATTTGGGCACCAAGCTCCCACCTTGCACCCAGGGCACACGGGGGCAATGAATGGGGGTGGAGCCAGGAAGGATCTGGGGCTTTTCGGTCCTTTTATTGCAAAAAGCAACCAGAGAAAAAAGAAAAAGAAAAAAAAATGACAACATACAAAATGTGAAGAGGTGGTGCAGCGAGCAGAGCTGCGTGAACCCCAGCAGCACAGTGGGGCTGAAGGAGTCCCCTGGGATATCTGGGGCATCTCAACAGCCCCCAGGGATTCTGAAATCACCCAGGAGCTGGGGGAAGGGTGAGGGATGAGCACCCCCAGGGGTTTGGGGACCAGTGGGAGGGGATGAGGGGTGCAGCTGGGAAGTGAGTGCAGCAGCAGGACCCCCAGCTCCGTGTTACTCAACCTCTACAGGGATGGGGTTCACCTGCCCCCCCACTTCGACCGTCTGCTTCCTGCGTGCATCAGCAGGGGGTCGAGGTGGGGGGTTGCTGGGGGGCTGCTTGATGGTGTCCCCCATATGAGGCCGCTCCCGGGGCTTCTGCTCAATGGGTCGCCACTCCTCCCCACGCACAGCTGCCTGCAGGGCCAGGGGGGAAAGGGGGCAGTCAGTGGGGAAGCCTCCTCCTTCAACCCCATAACCACCCCCTGACCCCCCAGAGCAGCTCACCAGCAGGTAGATGCCGCTAGCAATGCCCAGACAGACAGTGCCCAGGATGGTGGAAAGCAGGAAGCCAGCAGGGACAGCCAGCCTGAGGGTACAAAGGAAGGTGAGGGGGTTGGTTCAGGGTGTGACCCCCAGCCCCAACCCCACACCCCACTCACGCTGCATGCAGGATGGCACGGATGTAGTAATTCCGGGTGAGCGGTCCAAACACCTTCAGCACTGCCGTCATGTACCTCTGGCCACTGTGGGTTAATATGCAGAGTCAGGGGGGCACCCAGCCCTAAAGGACCCCCCTCAACACGTAGGAACCTCAATATCACCCCATCACTCACCAGCGCTCAATGGTGGAGCCCTTCTGCCTCTTGCTGCGTGGGTACTCCAGCAGGCAGACGAAGGCACCTGCAGCACTGAGTCGGGGGGGGGGGTCAAGGAAAAGGAGTGTTTGGAGCCAAGGGTAGGGGGTGAGATCCATGTGGAATAGGGCAGAAATGGGGCCAAGGGTGGGGGTGAATTCTGTAGGGAAAGGGGCAGGAATGGAGTGATGTGGGGCCAAACAGTGGGAAGGAGATGCAGGACCCCCCCTCCCCACCTGCACAGGGTCAGGTGCCCCCTCCCACCCCGAGCCCCGTAAGGATACATGGCGTACGCAGCGAAGTACCAGCCCTTGAACTGCCCGGCCACCGCCACGACCCCTCCGGTCAGCATGACTGCGGGACAGCGGGGACATTGATGCCATCCCCGGCACCTCCACCGAGTGGGGACAGCGGGGGATGCTTCACGTGGGACCCTCAGGAGCCCCAGCAGGGAACAGGGAGGTGGTGGGGGGTGGGTTTACTCCCGGTAGTGGCATGGCTGGGGGACAGCGTGGGAGACCCACGGTGACACACGATGGGGACGATAGGCTCGCCAGCTCTTCCGCGTCCTCATTGCCGCTCACTTCCTCCATCCCCGGGGGGGGGTTGGGCCAAAACGGGCTGGGAGGGGGGGGAGAACGCCTCGGGGACGACACAGCCAGGGATCGCTGCGTGGGGCGGGGGCTCGGACCTCTCCCCGTATCTCATCCCCGTAGCCCTGCATCGTCAACCCCGCATCCCTACCCCCTCCCCATATCCTCACCCCATCCCTGCATCCCGTATTCAGCCCTTCGACCCCCTCCCACTCATCACCCAGCCCCCTAACCCCGCACTCACTCAACCCGGCCGCCAACGCCTGTTCGTTGGCCCACATGGCCCATTCGATCTGCCCCATGGCCCGGCTCGGCTCGGCCCGACCCGGAAGGCAGCGGTTCAGCCGCGCAACCGAACCCCTTCCCCTCCTTCGGCCACTTCCCCTTCTCGTAACCCACGCCCACAAATACGCTCAAGCCACGCCCATTAATCACAGACCACGCCCATTAATCACAGACCACGCCCACATTCGCAGACAGCGAGTTGAAGACAAGCCACGCCCCCTTCCGCGCAGGCCACGCCCCCACGCGTCGCCCCCAGCGCAGCGCTGGCCCATAGGGGACATGGGGCGATGAGGGGACATAGGGTGACATGGGACAGGAGCAGCCCTGATGGGGACCACGGAGTGACTTGGGACAGGGTGGACCCCCGGTGGGACACAGGGCATGCTGAGCTCCGGCAGGAGGCTGGCTGCAGGGAACAGCAGCACAGTGGACAGCAGGGGGAGGCAGGACAGCCCCCCAGCACCCCACGGCGCACAGAACCCACAAACCCCAGAGCAGAGCTGCGGCTGGAAAACCTCTATTATTTGGTTACAAAAGAGTAAAAACCAGGCAATGGGAGGGGAGACGTCTGGGCCAGGAAGGGGACAGCTGAGCACAGCATCTCACAGCCCCAAAGCAGGTACTGGGACGGTGGGTCCCTGCCTGTGTGCCCCCCAGGGGCAGCCCCTGCTGGGCATCCCTGCTGTCCCCAGTGGTGTCCCCGTCATAGTGTCCCCATCACAGAGTCCCCCATTGTCAGGCAGAGCGGCACGGCAGCCCATCGGGGCCCAGCAGGTGCTGGCTGGGGTCATCCAGGAGCTGTGGGCCAGGGCCAGGCTGTGGGGACAAGAGATGTGTTAGGGGACAGCAGGAAGTAGTAGGGTCAGGGCCCTGTCCCCCCCCATACCTTGGTGTGCAGGATGTAGCGAATGGCCCCTGGCACTGGATCCACCACCACGGCTGATACCAGCTCCTCCGGCAGCACCGCCGTGCCAACGGGCCGGCCTCGAAGGAACCTGCAGCAGGGGTGGCACTCAGTTGTCCCCAACCCCATCCCATGTCCCTGTCCCATGGTTCCATCTCCATTCCCTTCCCACCAGTCCCTATCCACATCTCCATTCCCATCCCTCCATCCCTATCGCCATCCCACCAGTGCCTATACCCATCTCCATACCCATTCCCACCCCACCTTTTCCCAACCCCAACCCCATTCCCATCCCAGCAGTCCCAAATAACAACACCCTTACTGGTCCCCATTGGAGTTGGGTGGGAAGCTGCGCTTCACCACCTCCACGAACTCATCCACTGTGTCCTCCAGCATGAAGATGACCGCGTTGGGGCCAGCATCGAAGGTGTAAGCCACCTGGGGACGGGAACACAGTGAGAGGTGCACAGTGGCAGCGGGACGGGGCCGTGGGGGGGCTGCCCTACCTTGGTGCGCCCATGGTGAGCGTTGAAGCGGTGTGCCAGGGCGATGATGCGCTGCGAGATGTCGTTGAGGTAGAAGATGGGAGGGAAGGTGTCAAGGCAAGTGGCATGGAACTGATTGCTGTCCTGCATGGTCAGCTGGCCAAAGGCCTCGAAGTCCCGATCCTGGATGCAGCGCGCCATGCGGGTCATGCGCTCTGGCACCACCACCTCAGCACGGTACTACAGGGAGAGCACTAGGGGGGGTCATCTCACAGATCCCATGGGATTTGCTTCCCTGCAGCCCCCCTCCAGAGTCCCACAGCCCCATTGCAGTCAACCATCGGAGAAGACTTCTAAGATCCCCAAACCCAACCCATCCCACCACGCCCACTGGCCATGCCCCCATCTGCCACATCTCTGCAGTTCTGGGACACCCCCAGGCAGCCTGTGCTGGTCAACACCAAACATCCAACCCACCTTCAGCAGGGGGCTGGTGTCCACGCTGGTCTGCATCCCTGCCGTGCTGCCCACCGCCTTCTTCTCCCCGCTGACCTACACGAGACCACAGGACGTGGGCATCCTATAAGGGCCAGCTCCCAGCCCTAACAGCAATCCCATCCCTCACCACCAGCACGAGGACGCTCAGTTCTGGCCAGTGTGTCTCAGGTGCCAGCTGCTGTGCCACGCTGTCCCTGCCATCCGGCCGCTCCCCGCGGTGCCACTGCACAAAGCCCCCCAGCATACTGCGGCACGCACTGCCCGACCCACGCCGTGCCACCTCCGACAGCTCACCCTCCACACCATACAGCCGTGCCAGCGCTGACACTGCAGAGATAACACTGCTGTGCTCACGCTGTCCCCATCACCCCGCCCTCCGCCCCCCGTTGCCCCCCATACCCACCCAGGCAGGCATAACCAGCAGCCGAGGATGCCAACCCAGCAGCAGTGGGGAAATTGTTCTCGGAGGCGACGTGTACTTTGTAGGAGAGACTGAGTGGGGCTGCAGCATCGTCACCACGTCTCTTGCGGGCCAAGCGCCGCACTGTGCAGGGATGGGGTTATAGGGAAGCACAGGACATGTGGCTCCGTGCCCCTCACCCACCCCGGCACAGCTCACCTTCCCGCAGGCAGGCCTGCAGCCGGGGCTGCCCTGCATCCACCTCCTCCCCATTCAGCCACAGGCGGTCCTCGGTGAAGTCACGGCATGCGGCGGCTGTGGTGGTGGTCCTCAGCTGTATGGGATGATGCTGAGCTTGGGGACATGCAGGCCCGGGGATGGGGAGAGGGTGGGGGATATTGGATCCCCAGGGCTGGGGGTGGGCATGCAGCCCTGCACCAACCTGGTCCTGGTGCAGTGTCACACTGAGTGAGGAGTTGATGGGCAGGATGAGGTCGGTGTCACGCTTACCCCCTGTGAGAGATGTGGAGAGGTACAGCAATGCTTGGCATGGCACAGTGCCACTGTGCACTGAACAGCACTGCCTGGCATGGCATGGCACCACTTGGCATGGCATGACATGGCATGGCATGGCATGGCATGGCATGGCATGGCACTGCTTTCTGCCCATCAGCACTGCATGGCACAGCATGCCATACTGCTTGGAACGGCACAACACAGCATGGCACGGCTCAGCACAGCTCAGCACAGTTTGGCACAGCTCGGCACTGTCTGGCACGGCTCGGCACTGTCTGGCACGGCTCGGCACAGCACTTAGCACAGCAAAACCCGGCTCGGTCCGACCCCGCGCCCCCCGCCCGCACTCACAGTATTTGATGACGGCGATGTTGACGGGCGCTGTGCAGGTAACCCGCGCCGTGCCGCGCTCCTCCGCCATGCTTCCGCACACCGCCGCCGCCGCGCCCCGCCCACCTGCTCGCGCGTGCGAGCCTCGCCACGCCATTGGCTGGAGGCACAGCGGCCGGGGCAGGGTGACCAATAGCAGAGATCGGACCACGGGGCGGCCCCGCCCCATCCCGCCCATTGATCGAGCAGCGCGAGGGCGTGAAGGGGGCGGGGCCAACGTGGTGCCATGTGAGCAGCGCGCATGCGCGGGGGTGGGCTGTGCTGGGGGTCTGTGCCCCCAGTGCCACCAGTATCCCTGTACCCCAGTAATTCCACTGCTCTCAATGCTCACAGTGCCCCCAGCACCCTCACTACCCACCCAGTGCCCACAGTAACCCCACTATACACCCACTGTGCCAGTGCCCCCAGTATCCCCAGTGCTCCCAGCACACGCTCCCCAGCCTGACAAGCAGCAGGATCCCTTATTCCCCCTTTGGCAGCCAAGATCCACTCCCCCCCCCAAATCCCATGGGGTATTTTTGTCCCTCATCCCTGTGCCTGGAGGTGGGCATACACCTGGTATGTGGGTGACACTGCTGGGGGTGGGCACAAAAGCCCCCACCAGAAGCTGAGGGAGCAGCCCATAAGGAATATTTTGGGTGACCTCCCCCCCCCCACCCCAGTGGGTGCTGGCAGGTGCGGCGGGGCCCACCCCAGGATCTGAGTGCACCCCCCAGAGCTTTATAAGCATTTTCCATGGGCGAGAGGAAGGCACACGGCTATTTTGGGGTGTGGGATTCTTTCCCTGTCACAGGGACAGGTGGGGACCCGATTTAACTCAGTGGGGCTGCAAACAGCACATGGGGAAAGGCATGTGGCATCCCTCTGCTGACATCCCCCAAAATGCCCCTAGGGCTCCCCAGCCACCAGGGTGACACCGTGGGGCACCACCGCCATGCTGGGGATGCTCAGAGTCACTAGTGGGATTCCTAGGGTACAAATCCTATAGGAGCACCCAGGCCAGAAATCCACTCAGCACAGCAGGGCTAAGACCTGAGGGTCAGCCAGCTCCACCCCCAGGGACCCTATGGCCAGCAGGGCACAGCCAGGGGAGCCATGGCACTGTGCTTGGGTTACAGCTGAGCTCAATAAAACCCAATATCCCTGCTCTTCTTTATAGGGCTTCCCACTCAAAAGCAGCACAGGAGTAGCACAGACCCCCTCAGCCCAAAAAGCCTGGCTTGGGGGCATAAGGGCAGCTTGGCTTCATCCACAGGGACACAGTGGTGAGCAGGGCAGGGGATGTGGGATGGGGATGAGGATGCACTGCATCAATAAAGGACGTCTCTGTTCACAGCTGTGGGGCTCAGCTCCATCGTTAATGACTGCAGAGCCTGAAGCCCCAAAACCCTCCACGGAGCAGAAATTGAGGCAGGGCACGCTCAGCCTCAGGGTGCCTAAACTGGAGGAAGAGGCTGAGCAGAGCCAGCATTGCATCCCCAGGGAACCCCATAGGGGCACAGAGCCAGGACACCTCCCCAGGATACCCAGAGCAGGAACACCCACCACACTGCCCTGGCTCACACCCAGCAGTGCTTTTGGGACAGCACGTCCAGCATGTGCCAGGACACACTGCCAGGATGGGCACAGATGGCCACGGGGCTCCCATGGGGTCTGGTGATGTCACAGCATTGCCAAATCCCTCAGTTAAGGGCAGGAGTTAATGACTCAGGGGACAGGGCTGTAAGAATGAGTCCTTTGCACAGGAAAGGATTTTGGCTCCAGTGCTGTCCCCTCTTGCTCCCCACTTGGACACCTTGGGGGACACAGACTGCAGTCCGAGGCCGCCCATGGATGAAACTGCCTTTATTGAGAAAAAAATGGTTTGCTACAAATACGTCTTTGTATTTTCATAATTATTATTTTTCTTCTTCTTTTTCAAAAAATGGTATGTCTTGTTAAAAGTTCTAGTCATTATGCAAAAAGTCAGGGTAACATGGACAAGCACAACTGGCAGCACAACAGGATTCCCAATCTCACACCAAGGGGTGCGAGAGGCAGGAGCTGCCTGTGCTGCCTTAAAGTGCTTTACAAAAGCAGCCACTGCTGCCCCTGCTCCAACACTGCCGGGGCAAAAAGGAGGAAGAGGAGGAGGAGGAAGGAGACAGAGACATTAAAAGCACTGTCCCAGATTGCCCAAGGCAGGCAGCAAGAGCTCCAATGGAGGGCTGTATGAGGCAGAGCCCTCTAAGCAGGAACCTGGGGTGTCCCAGACAAGGAGGGGACAGGGAAACCCAACTAGGTTCCTCTCTGATGTCCCTGCTCCATCCCAGTGGGAGCAGGTAAAGCCCCTGGGCTGGACACATGGCAAGGGTACACTGCTGGATAGGGAAGACACCACTGCTTCCCACTAACCCTGGCTGCACAGAGGGAACAGAGCAGCCCCAGCCCTTTCCCCCTGCCAGGGGGCTGCCAGAAGCACAGGGGAGGCCCTGGCCCCCAGAACACTTGGTACTACTTAAAGTAAAAAGACAGTATTGCTAGAGCAGAGCTGGAGGGAGCCAGGACTCAGACAATCCACAAAATATGCTTCTCTGAGTGGAGAACACAGGCAGCAGCCCAGCCCCACTGGCATAGTTACAGCCCCAGAACAGAGCAGAGGCACATCCCAGCAGCATGCTGTCCTTTGGGATACCCTTGGGCCAGCCCTGGACAGGACTGTGCCTGCTTCCCACAGCACAGAGCATGGCTGGTAACCCTTGGGGGCAAAGCTTGGGGTCCAACTTGGAGAGACTCCTTAGGACCCCCTCCAGCACACAGTGGGGGCTGCTGCCCTCCAGAGCACTCTTCCCAAAGCCATCTCAAAGCCCTATTGGGAAGCAGGTGTCAACTCACTGCCTCCACGTGGTAAACCTGGGCCAGCCCCCTTGCTGTGTGTGACCCCAGAGGGTGGCAGGGCACCAACACGCAGCTCTTCTCGTCCAGCTGCTGGCAACTCATTACATGGGAAGGGAATTATGCTGCACAGGGCCATGGCTGTGCTCAGGCTGGCGGCAGTCAGCCTGAAGCCAGGCAGATCTCCCTTCCACCCACACTCAGTTGAGCAGAGCAGACAGCACAGGGCAGGGAGGAAGGGGACAGTGGGGCACACAGGCCTGGGCAGGCTGAAGGGCAAAAGGGAAGAGCATGAAGAGCTGCACCTTCTGCCCCAACACTGTGTGGCATGGGGACACAGCACGTGCCCTGCAGCTGATTTCTGCCTGTCCGGTACAGGGAGCTATGGAGCTTCACTCAGAGCAGCAACTGCCCACTTGAGAGAGGCATCCTGCAGTCTCCTGGTTCAGTGGACAAGATGCTCTGTTTTAGGGCTGGCGTTCTGCATAGCCACCAAAGGCAGACATCCCCCACAGCTGGTGGCCACACACAACCCAGCTGCTCTGCACTGAGCACGAGCTGGCAGCACCAAACCCTTCTGCTTCCTCACCATGCACCTACATGCAAGCTGCCCTTCCTGGTTACACCCAGCAGTGCCACGCAGCCAGCTCTGCTTGCAAGGATTAACACTGCCACTGCAGGAGCACAAAGCCTCCTAGTGAAATCCTCCCCTGCCATGCCAAAGGGTTACAGCAGCACTGTGGGTTTGGAGGAAAATCCAAACTTGGGCAATTTTCAGCAGAGCTTTTGCAAGCCCAGCCTGGTGGGCTGCACCCTTTGCTCCCAGCTCAGCACTCAAATACTGCTTGCTGCTTAATTACAAGCATCTGAGAGAGCAAACTGTGGGCAGAGGAAGGAAGCCCACTCACAGCTCAGAGAAGCTATGAGAAGCTGCACCCAGCAAGAACCCAAGGAGCCCAGTGATGAAGCCAACAGCCCAGGGATCACAGCCATACAACAAAGGGGCTGCTTGTCCTCCCAAAGGTCCTTTTTGAAGCAGAGCTGTGGGGCTGGCCATGCTCTGACCAACACAGCACTGCGCTGGCACAGCCTCATCACTGCCTGGAGAGACAAACTGACAGCAGAAGGGGACAGACAGGTCGGAGAGAAGAGATGAGGAGGCCCAGATGCTCACGTGGCTCAGCAGAGTCCCAGCTGCAGGCTCAGGGTCCAGTTCTTCCCTCCCACCCCATTTCAAATCCACAGCATGTTCGTTTGGTTGGTTTCTTTTTGTTGCTTTGTTAAAAAATATACTTTCTTAATAATGTTCCATAAAAATACTCTCGTCCCCAGTGACGGATATTGCAGTGTGAAGAGTAACAGCTTCTGTTCCTGCTCTATAAAACGTGGAAAAGGCATCACGCCGCTTCATGTAGAAAAACAGAATGCAGTATTACAAGAGCTGGTACAAAAGGAGGGAGGTGGGAGTTGCACTGGGACAGTCCACAGCTCCAAACCCGCTGCCATGTGGGCACAGCAGGCCTGCAGTCTTGCTCTGGGATTCAGCCTGCTGCTTTTGGGCTGGGCTGTGTGGCAGCAGGAAGAGGAGGCAGCTCCCAACTGCAGCGTGGGGGGACAGAGCGACGTCTCCAGAAATAACCTCGTGGGGTTTAAAAAGAAACAAAACACTCTGTGCTGCTTTCTTCCTTTTCCAAAACAAAAACAAACCCCAAAAGGACGTGGATGGTTGCAGTTTGAAACGAGGGCATTTCTGCATAAAACGCAACGTAGTTTTTACGTACCTATCAAATTGCAACAAAGAGCATGAAGACAAATGGTGCCAAAAAGCATCTAATAATAAATAGATCTGGATACAGGTATACACTCCGTGTACGGATATGAAATGCCTAACTGAGGAACAGTCCCCTGTCCTCTCTCCTCCCAGCAGCGGACGGCTCTGCTCACTCACCAGTCCAGAGTGATGCTGAGGCATCTCCACCTTCTTCGTGGTGGTGGGATCAGCCCAGAGAGGTGAGGGAAGAGAGGCGGTGATTCTCAGGGGGCCATGAGTTCCATGCCTCCCCAGCAGGAAGGTCGAGTGTGCAAAAGGGGTGTGAGGTGGGGTCCGAAGCAAAACTCCATGGCAGCCCTCAGTTCTCAGAGAGTGAAAGAGCCAGAGCAGCCTGCAGTGCTGCCTCCTCGTCAATGTTATAGTCCTAAAAACAGAGAATGGATGGTCAGGAAGGCAGTGGTGTGAGGCTGTGAAGCCCTTTCTTTGCGTCGCAGTCCCTCTCCTGCCTGGGTTGAGACTCCTGACATCACCCCTGCTTTCAGAGCTGGCAGCAGGCAGGGATGAAACTGGCCATGGTTTCCCAGATGGGCTCCAGGGAAAGCTTTCTTGCAAGGCTACACGCTTCTCCAGTGCTCCAGTCAGTAACCCCTTCCTAGCTGGGGGTATTTCACTGCAAGTAGTTGGAGGGAGGTCCAGGCAACAAAGTTAGGATGCTAATAAAATCATCTGCTAATCCCTGTGACCAAAGCTGCACAGCCAAACTCCTACACCCCACACAGAAGTTTGCAGCCCCCCAAAAGGACATCCCCCTGTGCTGTAGCCAGACCTTCTATGCCGCAGGCTGGGTTTCTCCTCACCCTCTCCTCGTGTTTCCCCACGTGAAGCCTTGAAGAAAAGGGCTTTTGTATTACAGTCCCTCAGGGGAAGAGTTTAATGGAGCACATGGAAAAAAAAAAACCATCTTCATGGGGAGGTATAACATTTCTCTCTGCTGCTCTTGGGGTGACTTTTGCCTTAGTGTGTGTCTAACAAGGACTAGTGTGAACACCCAGAAGCTCTCCCAAGTGGGGCTATGTGTGCTGCATGCATCCCACAAAGCCTAAAGGAGAAACTGTCCCCTTGCACCTCCCAGTTTGCTGCAAACCAGGACAGGCAAATCCTGGCAGGCAAGAAGGGCCGGATTTGTCACCCAAACAATCTGTGTGGAACACAGGGAAGATGATTCTATTCTCACTCACGGCCATACTCACCACAAAAGTGTCGTAGGAGAACTTGTGCCGGTGCAGGAGGTGCTGCAGGAAGTTTGCACTCTTGTAGCTGGGGTCCCCCCATGGCATGGCTGAGCAGACTGGGCACACCTGCAGCAGGCAGGGACAGGGCAGCTGTAAGACGTGGGCACTGAGCCACCTCCAGCTCTCCTGGGGGGCAGCAGGGAGCTGGTGCAGCCACGGCACAAGGGAGAAGTGAGCAGTGTCCCTCTCTCTGGGGTTGGGTATTCGCTGCAGTGGATATGCCAAGTGCCTCTGCCCTCTCAGCAGATCCTTCTGTGTACAAAGCTGCTGGCATGTGGCCCAGACTGCTTTTAGCTTGCTGACTAGTTAAATGTGTACATGAGCACCTTTCAGATGATGCCAGAGCTGCGAGTTCCCCACCTCAGTCAAATCAACAGCAAGAGGGAGAGCAAATCCAGCACCAGTTCAGCACAGTGAAACAGAGGCAGCTCACTCCAGAGAGCTTCTAAAAAAGCCAGCAGGGGCTGCCATGAATCTATTCATATTTCCAGCAGTTACCCACCCAGAACCACCCCAGCCTTGCTCACCACTTTGTTGGGGTCATTGCGGTGGTTTTCCATGCAGTGTTTTACCAGTTCCTGCTGGTCCAGATTCCGGGCCCCACAATACGGGCACACAAACGTTGAGCGATTGGGAATATTGCTAAAGAGAATGAGAACAAGCTCAGACCCCTGCCAAGTGCCTGGATCAACTTCTTCCAAACGAACCCAGCCACCTCTGTTGCTGCCTGTTCTGCTTTGTCCCACCTGCCCACGGTAAAGATAAACCAGCCTGTTCCCAGCCCAGCCATGAGCTCAGCCCACCCTGATCTGCTCAGTCCCTTCTCACTGGCTGAGACACAGGGTAGTGCCAGGGCTGCAAATGCCACCAGGATTAGCATGCTGATGTTCCTTGTTGTGAACGAACAGTCCAGGATAACAAGCAAGCAAAACACGTGTTTGGATTTCAGAGCTTCTAGTGAAGATGGATGAGAGCATCTGTGCAATTCGCATTTTTCTATGTAATGCATGACAGTACCTGGGGATAGGCTGGGATGTGGGGACAACTGGGACAAACTTGGGGCAGTTGGCCATCTGCTCCTGCACCTTTGCGCAAGACGAGACGTGAGACCGCATTTTTGCTAGGGTCACCTGGAGAAGGAGAGGAGAAAAATTCCCAGAGGCTGCAGGAACACATTCACCTGGCAGACAAAGCACCAGAGCCACCGGTGTGGTAGAGGAAAGCAGTTTTCACCATGCTTTGGCCAATCAACAGCAGAGCAAACTGAGGTTACACACAAAAAGTCAGGGTGGCTGCATTATTGCAGCACTAGCTCCAATTTCTTTTGCAAAAGAGGAACTGTTGACATGCATAGCCCTGAACTGCTCTGGCACCATGACAGTGGTTTGTTTCAGGGTGACAGACAGGCAGCTACAGGAAAATCCCCACAGTTAACGGAAGGCAGAAAGCATACCAGCACAGCCTGTGGAGGTGCACCATGAATCACAGCCTTACAGCCCATCCAGAAGCACCCCACACCTGACTGCTGGGCTGGGCCATGCTTTACCTTCTTGCTGCAGCCTCTGCAGGGAGCCTTGTAGGATGAGAGCTGTTTCTCCACACTGGAAGCCTTCTCTACCTTCTTAGGGTCGAAGGGCATGCGGCAGAGAGGGCAGAGTGGGGATGGCACCTGGAGGCAGGGCTGCAGACACTCCCCGCAGAACCTGGGGGCAAAGAGAGCAGCAGGAGTGAAACCTCAGCTCCAGGGCAGGACACGGGACTGCTGGGTACCTTGGGCAGCCCCAAAACTTAGAAAGCAGCATCCTCATGGGGCAGCGTGGGAAATGGTGAGGGGGAGTCAGGCACAGCTCAATCCCCAAAGGATCTGCTTGCCCTTCAAACATCACTCCTTGCACGTGCCATAGGGCTCAACACACGTGTGCACGCTGCTTGGAGACTCACAGCCGGGAGCAGCGAGCAGACGGCCCAGATTTGAGCAGAGCCAAACAATAATGGGCGCTGAGCACTCAAGCTGCAAGTGAGCACGCAAGCTCAAGCATTAGAGCCCAGCTCACCTCCTCTCAAGGTCTTTACGCCTGCAGCACAAAGGAAGCTCACGCAGCCACATGGAGGGGAGGGCTGAACACCGTGCCACCTCCCGCCCTCTTCTTGCAACCCCCTGGCACACAGATGTGGTCATCTAAAGTGCTACAGTGTCCCCATCTGCTACCCAGCTCATGTCACTCTGAAGCTGTGCTGGCAGCTGGCGCAGCCCCTATCTCACACACTGCCTTTCCACATGATGGCAGCAAAGCCTGCAGGGATGGCACTGCTGGGGGTTCCCAGGTGGCAGCGTGGCACACATAGTAGAGCCAGAGCTGTGGAGGAGCCACGTGCACTGCAGATGAGAGGGAGAAACACCATAGGGAGGGTCCTCTGCTCCAGTTCCCTTCCAACCCCGTGCAGCACCCTCAGCCTTAAGCACACCAAGAGGTGCCACAGACCTGGGATGAGGATGCCCCCAAAAGCTGCTCAGAGGTGGCACAACACACTGTGCTGCCAAGGGGACCCAGTGCACTCCCATGGGTGTCAAGGGGGATTTCCAACCTGAAACCCCAACTGGAACAGCCAGGGAGAGGACTCAGCTTTGGAGAGGAGCAGCAGGACTTGGTGTGGACGCAGGATGGGATGGGGGATCCCAGTACCAGCTGGAGTGCAGGATGGGACCTCGGTGTGGAGGAGTTGTGGGTGCTCTATCCCTGAGGGCATTCAGCTTGGATGGGGCCCAGCGCAGCCTCACCTGGTTCCTGATTTAGCAGTTGGCAACCCCAGCTACGGCAGGGGCTTGGAAATGGATAATCTTTGAGGTCCCATCCAACCCAACCATTCTGCGACCGTATGGTGTGAGGCAGGAGATGGAATGGGGGTCGGTACCGGCTGTGCTGTGGGATGGGATGAGGGTCCTGGTGCCGGCTGGGGAATGGGATGGAGGTCCCAGTTCCAGGTAAGGCACGGGATGGCACGGCACGGCACGGCACGGCGATCCCGGTGCCAGCAAGGCTGTGGGACGGCAGGCAGGGTATGGGGCATGCTGCAGGACGGGCTGACAGCCCGGTTCTGGCCAGACAGCGGGATGTGGGTCCCGGCTCCGGGGGCCCGGCCGGAGCCCAGGCTTCCCCACGCACCGCCACCCGCCCCAGGCCCGCCACCCACACCGACCCCCTCAGCCCCCCCCCACCGCCGCCGCCGCCGCCCCCGCTCACGTGTGGCCGCAGCCCGCGATGCCGACGGCGCGGTGGAAGACCTCCAGGCAGATAGGGCAGCTGAACTGAGCCTCCAGCGCCTCGGCCGCGGGGCCGGCGGGGGGCGGCGGGCGGGGGGGACCGGGGCCCGGGGCCTGGGGGCGCTGCGCCGCCGCTACCAGCAGGCTGCGGAACATGGCGGCGGCGGGCGTAGGGATGGCGTGACGTCGCCGTGCGTCGTGACGTCGATGCGCGTCGTGACGTCATCACCGTGCGCCGGCGGCGGAGGGAGGGGGAGCGGAGTGGAGGTGCCATGTGTGAGGCGGCGGGGCGGTGCGGAGGGTGCGGGGAAGCGCCGGTGCGGCGCCGCGCTGTCCCTGCGTGCAGGTGGGAGCGGGGCGTCGCGAGAGATCCGTCCCCCGGGGCCGAGCCCCGCTTCGGGCGGGGATCGGTGACGGTTTCGTTCCCCGCAGCCACCCGCAGCCGTGCGTGAAGTGCGGGGATGGCCCCGCCGCCGTCGTCATCCGAATCGGGGATGCGTTCTGTCGGTGAGGGGATCGGGATGCAGGGGTGTGGGGACGGCAGCGCGCGGTTCAGGGGTTTGGGGTTGGGAGATGTCAGGTCTTGGGGACGTCAACGCTTGGGGACTTTGGGTTGTGGGGGCATCAGGCTTGGGGACGTGAGGCTCTGAGATGTGGGTCTGAGGATATTGGGTTTGGTGACATCCAGGAATAGGGACATCACATCTTGGGGACATTAAGGCGTGGAGATTGTGGATTCAGGGCCTGGGAATGGTGCAGTTTGGGGATGTGGTTCAGCGATGTGGGGTTGGGAAACATCGGGGCTCTGGGATGGAGGGCACGGGGACATCACAGATTGGGGACATTGGCCATCAGGACACAGAGACTTTGGGGTTCTGGGATGCAGGGAACTCAGGGGTGTAAGGCTCAGAGATGTCAGGTCTGGGGACACTGGGTCTCGGTGATGTCCAGGAATGGGGACATCACAGCCTGGGGACATCAGCACTTAGAGATAAGAGCTTGTGGACGTAGGGCTTGGGGACACTGGGTGTCAGAGATATTGAGGCCTAGGCACAGCAGTGCTTGGAGACAGGGGTGCTCAGGGCTGTCTGTCTGTCTGCAGCTCCTGTTTTCGTGAGTATTTTGTGCACAAGTTCCGTGCCATGCTGGGCAAGAACCGCGTCATATTCCCAGGAGAGAAGGTACTGGGGACACGTGGGGTGGGGGGGAATGTGGTGCTGGGGGCACTGCACTGAGGCCGCTAACTGTCCCTGCTGTCCCTGCAGGTTCTGCTGGCACTGTCGGGCGGGATGGCCTCCAGTGCCATGCTGCGACAGGTGCAGGAGGTGAGTGTAGGGGAACTGGGGGGCGTGGGGCACAGCTTAGCCTGCTTACCCCATTGCTGTGCCAGGGGCTGAGCCGTGAGACGGCCAAGCGGCTGCGCTTCGTGCCTGGCCTCATCTACATCGATGGTAAGGCATGTCCCATCCCTGCTGCTCGTGCATCTCCCTGTGACCTGTCCCCATCCCTCCTTCCCATTCCTGCTGGGGGGCTGTGATACCCCGGGGTGTGTCCCCCTGCTCCAGCTGCTGCCATTGTGCCCACAGAGGGAGCGGTGTGTGGGCAGAGCCTGGTGCAACGGGAGCAAACCCTGACCCGCATGGAGGCCTTGCTGCAGGAAACTGGCTTTCCCTACTACCTGGCCTCCCTAGAACAGGTGGGGACAGGATGGGGCTGGGGAGCAAGATGTGGGGAGATGTGTCTGCCTGCACACAGCTCCCTGTCTGTCCACAGGCCTTGGAGCTGCCTGGCTCAGTCCTACGGCGGGGCCCTGGTGGGAACAGTGAGCCAAGCCCTTCTTACAAGGAGGCCGTAGAGGGTTTCATCCAGCAGCAGCGGCAGGAGGAGGCCAGTGGGGATGGTGGCACCTCGCCCACAGGGCTCAGCACCCAGGATGGTCCCACAGGGGACTCTCATGCCTGCCTGCCTACAGCTGCCCTCACTGAGGAGCTGCTGCGGCTCTTTGATGCAGCAGAGACGCTGACAGCAAAGGAGGAGCTGCTGCAGATGCTGCGGTGAGGGACTCCTCCTGCCCAGCGAGCACATGGCATGGCCCTGTGAGTCTGAGCCAGTGTTACTGTGTCCCCAGGAGCCATCTCCTCCTGCACACTGCCCGCACACAGGGTTACACCAAGGTGATGACGGGCGAGAGCTGCACCCGCGTGGCCATCAAGCTGCTCACCAATCTGGCACTGGGGCGCGGCGCCTTCCTCGCTGTGGACACAGTGAGTGCCATCCCTGCCTGGGAGTGGGACAGGACCCAAGCACTGCTCTGTGCCTAGGATTATTCCCAGCTTGGCGGCAGTACCTCAGCCCTGCTCATCTGCAGGGCTTTGTGGACAGCCGACATGGTGACGTGACAGTGGTGCGCCCCATGCGGGACTACACAGCCAAGGAGATTGCATTCTACAACCACTTCTTTGGCGTCCCCACCATCATCACACCACCCCTCCACGCCAAGGTAGGGGTGCCCCTGTTTCCCCACTTCAGCCAGACTAAGCTGTGGGCCCCCCCCATCCTGCCCATCTCTATTCCCCCTGCAGCGCCGGGAGAAGACCAGCATCCACCGCCTGATGGAGAACTTCCTGCTGGGGTTGCAGGTGGATTTCCCCTCCACCATCAGCACTGTGTACCGGTACAGCACCTCAGGGCAGGGTGATTGGGGGCAGGCAGTGAGGTGCCGCTGCTCATTCCCTCTTTACATCTGCAGGACAGGTGAGAAGCTGAGCGTGGCTCCAGCAGAAGCAAACAGCGAACTGCAGCGCTGCCTGCTGTGCCTCTGCGCCCTGGACATCGCTGGGGGTGAGTGATACTGGGGGGGGATACACTGAGCTGACAGCTTGTGCCAAGTGTGTGACTGTCTCTTGGTTCTTGCAGAGGAGGAGCTGGCCTTAGAGCCCACGCTGGTGAAGGAGGAGACAGGAAACGGGTGAGCAGTAGGATGTCCTCCAGCAATGGGGGACATGGAGACACCAGAGACAGCAGCAGGAACATTGTCACTGCTCCATCCCTTCTCCCTGCAGGGCTGAGAGCAGAGCTGCCTTCATCCCACTGCTGTGCTACAGCTGCCGCCTCACGTTCAAGGAAATGGTGAGGATTTGAGGTGGCTTTCCAGGAACTGAGAACAGGGCTCAGTGTCCCCACTGTCCCCTCTCTTGCAGGGCCCCCCAGACACACTGCCGCCCTACGTGCGCACCGAAGCTCAGCGCAGGAACTGCAGGTAGGGGACAAGCTGGGGAGGTCCCTTCCCTGCGGTCTGAGGGCAGTGCAGCCAGCAGGTCTGTCCCTCACAGGGCTCTGATGAAGCAGCAGATCCAGGAATTCCTGCTGGAGGATGATGAGGAGGAACCTGGTGGGAGCTGACAGCAGAGCCCTGTCATCGTGGGGCATGAGGGTCCTATAAGGGTGAGGGAATCTGGAGTCACTGGGCTACCGGTGGTGATACCTGGCATGCAGACAGCTGCTTTCTCACCAGATTCAAATGATCCAGTACCAGCAGGGGGTCAGGGAGACCCCCCTCCAAGTGCCCATCCAGGGGGTGCTGATACCCACAGGCATCACATCCCCACTCCCGCCCCACTACTGGGGAAACAGGGGTGGCCTCAGCTTTATTTTATTAGATATCTGTATAAATAAACCATTTGAATTAAAAAAAAAAAAAGTGTCTACAGTCCAGCTGGGGATGCCAGCCACCCCAGTGGGGGGCCACAGCACCGTGCACCCCCCATTTTGGGGCTATAGGGGTATTGCTTTAGAGTTCAACCTGGTTGTGGAGCGGGGCTGAGGGGTGCAGGGGGATGCTGGCTCGTGTCCAACCCCAGCAGCCAGGGAGATGCGGCGTCAACTCCTGACACCCCCCACAGCTGGCCAGCCCCCCAGAGAAGGCACAACATGGTCTCTGCCGGTTGGACGGCTTCAAAGCAAGGTGAGGATGAGATCCTCCTTCTAAAAGCACCGTCCCGTGCCCCCCAGCAGGATGCGACCCTGCAAGGCTGCTTAAGGCATTGACGGTGATGTCCCCTTGTGAGGGGCTGGAGTCTCTTCCCCTTACTCCTTCTCCCTCGTCCACTTGATCATGGTCTCGGGTGAGCGGTAGAGGAAGATGAGCTTGGCGTAGAGCTCCTCCTCCAGCTCCAGCTCTCCCGTCTCCCGCACCAGGAAGATGTCCTGGCACAGCTTCAGGATGCGGTCCACGCAGGGCAGCTCCTCAAACATGATGGAGTGTGAAATCTCGCTGAAGAAGCCTCGCACAAACTTCCCAATCACCAGCACGATGGAGACGTACAGCCCCATGATCCTGCAATGGGATGGGATGAAACCACCTTCGCTCCCCACTCGCCACCCCCAGCTCCTTCCCTCGCCCCCCTACGCACCCATAGCCGGCCAAAAAGCCCAGGCTGGGGGGGCTGACTTTGTCGTTGAAGATGACCATGGGCAGGATGTTACCATCGCGTGCCGGAGCATCCTTCAGCCGCACCACCCACCACTCCAGGAAGCTGTCACTGCCCTGCCCTGAGCGTGAGCGCTCCCGTTTCAGCTGCACCTCAACATCCAGGTAGCTGTCCTCTCCATCTGTGGGGTGGACAGGGGGGTCAGGACATGGCATGCTGGCCAGGACCCCCATCATGTGTACAACAGACAATCGGACCCACCTGGCAGCAGCTGCTTGACCGGGTTGGCTTCGGGGCCGTTGGGCGCCCGGATGTATTTGGGGAAGAGTTTGGGCACTTGCCTGCAACAAAGCAGAGTGAAGCACCATCCCTGGGGGTGCCCCTTTCCCCGAGTCCCCCCAGGGACACTCACACTGGGGCATCACGGGTGCCCTGCAGCAGCTGGGCCAGCTCCATGCGCTCAGGTGCTCCAGGCTGCAGGTCAGTGGTGTGCTTGTCGAAGGTGT